ATGAACTCAAAAACTAAAATAACGAAATATCGGTCATGCGGCTAAAAGTAGAAGAAATACTAATGCCGATATAAAACTGTGTGTGCAATAAAAAATACAATATTTTAGTGTGTGTTTATATTACAATATTATTAAAACTGTTTTTGTGGACATATTACGACCATTGGCTTATAYTAGCATGTTTRAAAATATTTATTATTATTATTATTATTTTATATCTTCATTTTAATAATAATGCAAGGTTTAAACATAATTTATATATGAATAATAATAAAAAAAATTAAACAGAATCAGTGAAAGAAATCACTAAACTCGTATTTAAAATAAATTTTATTTTATTTTTAGTCGTTAGTATGGCAAGGTTTTGCCGAGTTATTACATCAAGAGCAAAACGAACTGCCAGTTGTATTCAAGAATGTGGAATTTTTAAGGAAGACGCTCATTCCAGAACATGGTAATGAAATGAAAAATTAATATTTTTAAACTATTTAACATTTTAACGTACCAATATTTTCTATTTTTATTTAGGAGTTGTTAAGTTTGTTTTGAACGTACTGTCGTCTGGAGAATTTGAACTCAAAGAATCCGGTACAATTGTAGCTTCTGGTCAAATTAGCACTTCGGCTACGATTGATAAAGAATTATTGAAGTTGGCAACGCCTAAAAACAAAAAACCTCAATACTTACCGTTAGATTCAACTGACGTTTATAAAGAATTGCGTTTGAAAGGTTACGACTACCATGATTCATTCAGAGGGATCCAAAAAATTGATCAAGAAGGTAAACTAATCTCTAAATCAATTTAATTTAGTTTAAAAATCTAAAGATGTATCATACTTAATAGTATATAATTATGTTACATAAAAATTATATGCACTTGCTAAATAAAATCATACTTAAAATCAAATGATTTAGTTTTGAATTTCATCTACGAAATATTATTTTAAATAAATGTATTTTTTTATATTAGGATACCACGTAAATTTCAATGGAAATTGGTTAGCATTTTTAGAAAATCTGTTTCAAATACCAGTATTGCAGTTGGATAATTATAACTTGTATACTCCAAAATTCGTAAAAAAGGTAGTCATTAATCCTACTAAACAACAAAAACAAG